AATAATATTCAACTTTGCCTTTTCTGACATGTGGATGATCAATATTATCTGAACCCAGCTAATGTGATGATTTGGTGGTGGCAGCTTACTTTAAAGGTTATTGGAGAGCCTATGTTCTCAACAAATAATTTTCACTGAGCTATTCTGACAATGCCTAATTCAGATATTTCCTGTTTAACGTCCTGTATAATGACTGTTTGGACTTACAACTGAGGTTTGCAGATCACTTACTATGTACAACCATGTGTATGTGTGTGTGTGTGTGTGTGTACACATATAGTTCTGTACATCTTATCTATAGAGCCTCGATGTCTTTTTTATACAGTATACGTTGTTTATAGGGTACTGTGATTTTGCTGACTGTACTGTGCAGCACTCTAATTTTGTTATATATTACAATGTTGCATTCAAGAGTTACAGAAATTAAAGCAGTTATCAAGTTGGAGTTTCCTTTGTCCATTTTTGTTCTAAATATTGTATCATACATACATGTTATATACAATTCCTCATTTAGTGACCAACTCAGGTAATGATCTAGTTGCAGGAACTCAGTCATTAAACTAAAAGTGTCTGCATAAACCCTAAGATGCTGCATAAGGCACCATAGGACTTCTACACAGTAAGTCTCCACTGTCATCCAAGACAGTAAAAGTACATTCTTTTATGGACTAGTAGAATCCACAGGGGGTCCATGAGTGGCTCCCTATTTGCTACTTCACTGAGGGTAAACAGTAACTATTAGTTTAATCCTAGAACAAAACTAGTTGAATTTCAGAAGTAACATTGTTAGCAGGCAGGTACTAGGACTTATTTTTCTCCAGTAACTAAGGCACTTAGCTCTTCTACTAAAGCAACCTCCCCTCAAAAATCTTTCAAAAGACACTTCCTGACACCATAGTGCATTCACTGTCCTGGAGGAATGGACATACCCTGAGATCAGAATCACTGCCCAAAAAACCTGGGAATAAATGACTTCATTTCCAAACTTCAATCTCAGATGGGGGAAACTTTAAGCAGGAGGGGAATGGCTGTGGAAAAGTTAAGCAGAAGCTGAAACAAGGGTGATGGCAGGGAGAAGGCTGAGAAAAGCAGTGAGAGGCCTGGGCCTGGCCTGCGCAATTAGACCAGAGCCCCCTTGCAAAGCTACTACAGTGGCACCCGAGTAAGATGCTTGGACCTTGTTCAACTCTTAAGCTGCTCATCTATTAAAAAAACAATTACCAATGAATAATAATGATTACTACGAGGCCCTTGGCAATATCTGTGTCTGGCACCCTGTAAGAGTACAGGTGAAAAGCGCAGCATCACCATAGTACTGAAAGCAAGAGGCTCTTTTGTTAGAGTTGAAGGGTTAGCGACTTTTGATGATAACATTAAGAAGCCATATAATCTTATTAAATATAAGTAAACTCAAACATGAATATTTCCCAATATTCACATAGTGAATGATTGGTATTTCTCTAGCACTAGTCTGAAGAACTTGTGGAACTGTTCAACGTATGTCTGGAAGCTGTTCCCAAAATTCACTGGCCTGGGATAAAATGAAAAGAAAAGGAAAATACGGCGATATATATATATATATTTTTTTTTACAACAATATGAAATATAACAACCATTGTTGGATTCCTATCATTTAGTTTAGTGAAATTCTGTATTATTTCTTTTTTTCTTTTCACTGTTTTTTGTATTCTCTTTAAGAAAAAAATTAAACATAAAAAGATTATACATACAAAATTTTTTACATATATCAAAATATAAAGATAAGCAACAATGATTCTTAAAATTCAAATTAAAACAAGACCAGAATATTTACATGTTTATTAAATCTTTACAATCAGTAATTATAATCAAATACACAATTATATACAAGGATTATATACATTTTGCCCAGACTTTTACATCACAGTACATAGTTTCCCTTAGAAATATTGTATACACTTATCACCAAACAATAAAATCCAACAACAGTAGTGTTACAGCACCTGTTAGTACAGACATCTTTTTCATAAATTACATCATAAGAAAATATACGGCTGTAAATTGGGCTTTTAAAAATGTCTTTTATAAAATCTGAACATACAATGTTTCATTCACAGAATGTTTTTTTCTATGTTCTGACTGAAGCCTTGTGCATAAAACGACCAGTTGAAATATTTACTAAATTCTACCCATCCCCTCTAAAATTGTAAGAACTATTTGAATTACTTATGCTCAGCTTTTTTTATGATGAATTTGGCATGGGGTCTGGTGAGAGAACAAATGCTGGCTTTGCTATAAAAGAGTTGTGTGATGGTAATTTAAATCTAAAAACAATCCTCGGGAGAGTAACTACATTAGAGAAATTAAAATCAGAGAGTGCACGATTTCTCAATTTAAAAATCTCTAAAACTGTGAAGAAAAATGAAAAAATAAAATTGCAAAATAATTTCCCAAACAATTATGCTTTTTAGAAGCTTATTACAGGTTAATGAGAAAACTTACTCAAATACGTATCCCATCCCAAACATATGTAGTAACTGATAATTCTTTCACACTTTGAACTTTATGGGAAAAGTAGTGCAAATTAGGGATGTTATTTCAAGGGACTTCTACATGCAAAATAACTATAGATATTTTATTTTTAACAGGCAAACAAATTACATTTGAAAATACCTGAATTAAACGCTTGCTTTTATCTTTTAACTTTCAGCTAAAAGCTTTACTTGATTCCAGGTTTGTAAACATTGTATAAATCTTTCTTAGTCAAACAATTTTATGGCTGTGGTGATCTTTTCAGCTCTATTTCTAAACAGTCAACATTTACCTGAGGTAGACCAGATGTTTCTAAATTCAGGGTCTCACAGAATCCCCTGAATCTTTAGGAAGTAAATAAAATATCCATAAAAGGTATTTAACAAAACATTTTAGGCCGGGGATGTAGCTCAGTGGCACAGCACCTGTCTAGCAGACGTGAGCCCTGACTTTGATTCCCAGTACCAAACAAAACAAAAAAAAAATTAACCTAATGCTTCTGGAATTTTTAATGAATTAAAAACTACTTTATCACAGTATAATGGCGGTGTTCTGAAACTGAACTTATATCTTCCGTCTTACCTAGGGAAAATTGGTATAATTTCTTCTGGGTATTAAATATAATTAGCTAAATCTTATCTTTTTATTTTTTATTTTTATTTTTTTTTTAAGGGTTTAGTTCCTGAATAGTTAAGGATTTGCTCCCAAATCTCAGTGAAAGACAACAGCTCCCTCTAATGGCCAAGGAAAGGGAGAGTGGCAGTAAGCTGGCCTTTCCTAGTGCATGTCACAGGACCCTTCATGCCACTCAGTTCTCCTTGTTGGGGGAAAAAAAACAAACAAACTGTTGCTTAGATAACTTAGAAGTGTTCTACTTAGCAACAACGGCTTTGAGCTACAAATACAAAATCAAATCAATGCACATAAGGCTTCTGTAATCAAAGTCTTACAGGAACATCTGCTCCTTTTCTCCAAGCCCCAGTCCTATCAATCAAGGCAAGTCAAGTAATTAGGCTTCAGCTATTTTGGCAGCTTTGCAATTAAAATGAACAAAGCACTATGTCTACCTTTCTGAAAGCTGTATGTATTATAGTTCTATCTTCTTACCTCAAATTTGACATGCAGAGAGACTAAAAATATCCATTTTGGTGTCAGGTTTAATTAAGGGCCAATAAAGGCCTTGTTATGCTACTATTTTTTCCCTTCCCCAAAGCAAATTCTGTAGTAGATTTATTACTCACTGACCCAATTATGTTTAGCTAGAATTTTGAAACAAGTAGTTATCCTCTTACAAAGGAATACTTACTTGGGATCTAAGACATACTGTACATGAATATACATAACTACAACACAGCATTGCTGTTCTTTAACAATTCCACATATAAGTTATTCAGTACCTCAAAATCATGTTTTAGGAAAAGATTATTATGTAATATCATGATAAAAAGAAAGGAAATCAGATTTCTCAGATAGTCTGTTGGAACTGATTAATAAAAGTTTAAAAAATAAATACAATGAGCAAGGCCATGATTTCAAGTCCAGGCTAACAATATCAACAATAAACTTTTTAAAATTTAAATGTGGCCAGCATAAGACCACCACCAAAAAGAGAAAAAGGGAAAATTTTTTCATTAAACTACATGGCTACATGTAATTCTTACTATAAAATTTTTTGGAGAAAAAGGTCACCGCAAACTAATTTTCAATTCTATATCATAAGAAATATTTGTTAAAACAAGAACAAACCCAAAACTCATGATTCAACATAAAATATGGCAAATTCTTTAGGTGTGACTTTAGAAACCAAAGTTTCTGAGGAGAAAAACAGTAGTTACTCAAGTAATTTTAGATCACCACCATAATTTTATCATGGCTTCAGAAGACAGAAAAATGGAATAAAGTATATTCAGCTGTTGGCGATATGGGCCTTTTGGCTCAAACTGTATACTACACATGGCATGAGTGAGGCTGGTGGCCAGAGGTGACCACCTCTCAGAGAAATGAACTAGAGAAGATTTATGACCCACCCAACAAGGATATATGCTAAGTGTCACTTCAGAGTAGTCCCAGATTTCCTTATGGAAGGCCCAATGGGAAGTTCACAATACATTACAGTTTCTCCCTTGCTCCACTTAACAAAAGTAACCAATTTTCAGAATATGACCTTTTTACCTGGCCTCATGATTAGCATTTATGCAGAAAACTGAGAAAATACACTGGCTTCACCTTTAGTTTAAATGAAAAAGACATTGTTAGGAGGGAAAAAACCAGAAGTCATTTGATTACCTGTCGTTGAATGAAAGAAGTGATGAACAAAAACTGTCACCATAAATGCATGTTTCATAACCACTTAAATCACTATAGAGGGGTTTTGTGTGTGTGTGAAGGCAGCACAACCTGAATGCCACAATGCCCATGTGTATCTTCCCAAAAGAGCCTCTAATGACCAAATCAAGAAAGCCATGCTTCCTCTAGCTAGAAAGCTACAAACTCCAATTTCTTACTCAACTACTGAGTTTGTCTGTCTACCCAGAGACAAAAGTTCAGTTCCCAGGAAGTGCCAGATGTCTTCCCTGGCCAGGCATGCTGCAAGTTGTGCAATGCTGTCATTTGAGGGGGGAACTGCGAGTTCCACTTTTGATGGGACAGTCTAACTGAGGTCATTTTTAACGCAACATGCTCCAGATTCCTATGCTAACTACCCATCTCAGTCAGAACATGGTTGCTCATCGCCATACTTAAAGCCCCTTGGAGAGCATGCTTAGTATAGGGTGTCTCTAACCAGTTTACTTTTTCTTTTTAAATACCTACCACCACACTTTTCAGTGAGTCATAGTTCATCCTTCTCCATCATTTCAAAAGCTTCTATATCTTCATTCCAGTCCGCTAGTATGGAGTCTATAGGCTGGGTCTTTTTACCCCAGCTAACATTAGGATTGGAGTCTTCCTCAGTTTCTGACTGTTCTTGAGGTTGGTTATCCAGATCTGTACATTCACCATCCAGACTGGTAGGTTCCTGGTCTTCTGTGGGATTAGAAGTCTGTTCAGCAGGGGAAATGCTTGCAGCACTGTCAGGATCTGCTGGTGATGAGTCTGAGTGAGAGTCTAGAGAACTTTCCTCAGGAGACTCTTGATCAACCAAGTCAACTGCCTGAGAAATTGATATAATCTGTTCAGCACTTTGACTCTGAGAATCATTTTCTGAGGATAGCTGTGCTTCATTTTCCGTTTCAGGATCTGTATAAGAAAGAAACAAACTCCATGCTACTTTCCTCACAAAGACTTTACTGGTACACATACAAAGTCATACTATTTTTCACAACACAATTAAGACATAAAATGTTAAAGATCATCAAATTAATGCAGAACAATGCACTTAATAGAAAATGATTTGTCTTTTATGAATGTAACATTTCCTATGTATTTGTTTTATAAAATGTGTGTGTTAAAAAATAAATGCTTCAAATTAAAAGGAATGACTAAAAACTGATAAAACAGGCTTAAATGAATATCAGTAAATGCCAAGAAACATATTAAACAATAAAGTACATAAAATGTGTAATGTCTAACTAAAATTTATTAAATATCTAAATTCATGAAAGCATGCACATGAGCGCATACTAAATAAAATACGTTATAAATAGTATATATCAGTGCACTGGAAAAGTAAAATTACCATTGAGGAAGCCATGAATGTTCAGATAAAAAGATTTTTGGATGATTATGGGTATTAATGTGATTAATCAAAATACTTTCACAAAAACAAAAACTGAGATTTACAAAAATTCTATTATTTTATCCTATGAATTATAAAACATAATATTAAAATCCACTAAAGGCTACAGAGGAGGTTAAAGCTCTTGTAATGAATACACAATGAAACCATCTTCTTTAGGGTTCCCAGAAGTGCTTAAACCGCATCGCACCCACATGGCACAACCTGTTCAGGCTCAGGCTCCCTCACTGAGACACAGCCAGCCAGCCGGGCCAGCTGTCCACGGTGCATGGCACTAAGAAGAAAATGAAGAGCAAAAGCAAAACACTACACCTGCCCTTATGCATCCTGTAGTTCAACCCCAGAAAAAGATCACAAAACAAACAGAAAAATCCAACTGTGACAGATGTTCTGAGAGTAAGATACGTGGTGTTAGAAAAGCTTATGTATAAGTAAGGAAATTTAATGGGTTCTTACAGAAATAACTAAACTGGGACTTAAAGGAGAAGTAGTCTTTCAGTCAAAGAAAGGAAGGAAGATGATCTTTTTATAAAATCAGAAACACTTAACATAATGTGGACATGCAGGAAGATAGGGGTGGATGCGTGTGTATTCACCCTGTTCAGATAGGATTATTTGATGAGGGCAAGTTATATTCTTAGGTTTGGGGCAGGGAGTGAAGTTTGAAAAACTGAGGAGTCCTCCTGCATTTCCATTTTCTTTCTTTCCTTTTTTTTTTTTCCGTACCAAGGATCAAACTCTGTACCTTCTGCTTCTTCTGAGCTATCTTCCTGGCCCCTGCATCTGTTTTCTGAACCTTAAAAGAGGTACAATTTAACTAGACAGGGAAGCTATGGTGGGCCCAAAGAAAGTAGGGAGTTAGCTGGCTGCTTAGACGATACTTATGCTAGGCAAGGTAAGTTCCAAGACAAAAAACAACAAAAAAAGAAAAACCTTCAAGCTTCTTTCTGGAAGATATTGTTCCAGTTTAGAAGACGGGGTTGTTTTGTCTACTAATGAAGACTGTCCTTATGACTTACAATTCCCCTAACTTTAGATATGACACAATTTTATTTTTGGAAATCTAACAAATGAAATAGGGTACCAAAAAAAAGAAAATAGAACAACTGTAAATAAGAAAAAAGTGAATTGAATTGTATGTAAAAACTGTGATTATGGAATAAACTTTAAACAATTCTAATTTTAAAAATACTATTAAAATTAATAAAAGAATTTGTTAAGAAGAGTAAAGCAACTGAATACTAGTAACTCCTCTGTAGTGGCAACAACTACTACTAATAAAACCATATATTTTTTTCATAATGAAAAGCTACAAAACAGAATTAGATTCATTATAAGAGGCATACAGTTCATAGTGCTTCATACCATGCAATCATTATAAAACACAAAACAAGATCTGATTAAATTTATAGGTATGTTAAAAGTATTTAACATTTTCCTAATTTATACATAAAGTATACAGTTATATATTCATTTCAAAATGAATCTCACTTCTACTTTTCTTGTTTTGGAACCAGATAAAATCATCTGCAATTTCATATTGAAGAATATATGTCAAAGAAAAGTCAAGAAATTTTCAAAAGGATCAGCCAGCACTCCATAAAACCTATACACTGGGCTGGGGAGATAGTTCAGCAGCATCATCACCTGCCTGGTAAGCACAAAGTTCCAAGTTCAATCCCCAGTTTCTAAAAAAAACCCTACTCATTACTCTCAGTTTTGTCTGGATTACTTTACACTGACTTATCTAGCTCTTAACTTACCAATTTGTTTCTGATCTCATTACTAACTTTGTAGATAAGTATTTCATATAAACCTTTGTGACTATTTAGACCTGCCACACATCATTTCTTCTGAGGATATTTCTCTTAACTAGTAATTTATATATTTGCTCTAGTTGTACATCTTAGAACTCTTTAGCATAGATACATCCTATAAAGCAAGATCAAGCTCAATGAAATATATACCTATCAATGGAAATATCCTGAGTAAAATTAGGGAGAAACACACTCTTGTATCTTAGAAGAGATGTAAATTGTTACTACAACTTGCAACATTTATCAAGGCCGAAAGATCCATACCCTTCTCTTCATCATTCCATTTTAGTAAACCTCAAAATTCTAGACAAGTATCAAAATGTACGAAGACATATATAGAATGATTTCTACATCATTAGCATATAACGGCTAAACAAACCAAAAAAACTCTAGAACTAATGTAGATGGCCAATGATGAAATAATTAAATAAATTGTGTTTCTGTTACAAAATAAAATATGATAAAGCTTTTAAAAGAATAAATTCTGCAATCCAACCAGCATGGAAGAATATTCTTAAACTATAAAAAGCAATTTGCTTAATGATATTTAGAATATACTCCATTACTGTGAAAAGAAAATCTGTACTTTGAAATGTACAAAGCCCCCCAAAAAAAATATGAACAGTTATATACTAAACTATTAACACTGATTGGTTATATCAGGAAAACGAGAGACTTAAAAACATGTATCTCCAAAAGAACATGTTATAAAATTTACATTTGAAATTAAAAAGAGATTTTCAAAAGGTATCAGTAACTATTCTGCAGGCTGGCCAAATAGCTCAGCGGATCAGGCGCAGAGGCCTGTGGTTCAATCCTCCGGCCTGCCGTGCCAGCCCCGCACCTGGGGCACACTGAGACGGCCATTGGGATTGGGCTTGGTGGTGCACCTGTAATCCCAGCTCTTGGGAGGCTGTAAAAAGGCAGATCATTACGAGTCCAATCTAGTAGTGAGACCCTGAACACCCTGTAGAACCTTCCCTAAAATAAAAAACACTCTGCAATGCACTATAGGAAAGTCATCAAAGACTAAGGAACACAAAAAGAGAAGGAAAGAAAAAGAAGAGGGGAAGATATAGACAGTGAGATAATTTTTTAAACCAGAGAAATATATATATATATATATATACATTTTTGGAAAGTAGGCACAGGGGTCAGGGTTCAATCTCTGGGCCTGCCTTGCTGGCCCTGCCCTTGGGGTGCACTGAGATGGCAATTGAGACTGGGCGTGGTGGCACACACCTATAATTCCAGCTCTTGGGAGGCTGTAAACAGGCGGATCACTACGTGTCCCATCTAGTAGTGAGACTCTGAACACCCTGTAGACCTTTCCTTAAAAATACAGAAAATAAAATAAAAATCCAAACACTAAAAAAAAAAAATTTTTTTTGGAGTTTGAGACAGGATATCATGTCTGCATCTTGTACAATGAATAACCACTAAGACAATAATATGCAATGTATATACTACAAAGCTACTGTAATAAAATCAGCATGGTATTGGCAACAAAATAGACCTGAAGATCAATGGAATAGACTAGTAGATGCAGAGGCCTCTAGGAATGCACTCAGCCACCTGATCTTTGACAAAGGGGCCAAACACACTTACTGGAAGAAAGACAGTCTCTTTAACAAATGGTGCTGGAAAAATTGGCTCTCTACACGCCGAAGATTAAAACTTGACCCAGGTCTATCACCATGCACTAAACTAAAATCAAAATGGATTGAAGAACTGAGCATTAAATCAGAAACACTAAATCTCCTAGAAGAGAAAGTAGGAGGATCTCTTGAAGACATAGGGGTAGGCAAAGAGTTCATGAACAGAAACCAAATCGCACAGGAAACACTTGAAAGAATTAACAACTGGGACCATCTCTTACTGAGAAGTTTTTTCACGTCAAAAGAAATTATCAACAAAGTGAAAAGACAACCCACAAACTTCGAAAAAATCTTAACTAATAAGCACTCAGACAAAGGTCTGCTCTCTAGAATATATAAAGAACTAAAGAACATTAGGGCCCCTAAATTTAAAGACCCAATCCAAAAGTGGGCATCTGAGATGAACACACACTTCTCGGAGAACGAAAGAAGCGAATAAATATATGAAAAAATGCTCCACATCACTAGCCATCCACAAAATGCAAATTAAAACACTGAGATATTATCTCACCCCAGAAAGATTGGCTAACATAAAGAAATCAACCAACAACAAATGTTGGAGAGGCTGTGGGGAAAGGGGAACCCTTCTCCGCTGTTGGTGGGAGTGTAGACTGGTGCAACCGTTATGGAAATCAGTGTGGAGACTCCTTAGAAAACTAGGACTGGAAATCCCATTCAAGCCCGCTATCCCCCTACTGGGAATTTTCTCGGAGGAACTGAAAGCATCATATCATAGTGATATATGTGGATCTATGTTTATAGCAGCACAATTTGTAATAGCCAGAACTTGGAAACAACCAAAATGCCCGTCACATGTGGAATGGTGGAAAAAGATGTGGTACTTTTATATAATGGAGTACTACTCAGCTATAAAGAATGACAAACTTGAAGCCTTCATATTTAAGTGGATGCCACTTGAAGATATACTTCTTAGTGAAATAAACCAGACCCACATCTGTAAATATCGTATTCTCTCCCTAATATAAGGACTTACAATTCCGTATATGACTAGGTTTCTAAATTTCTTAGTAAAAATATGTAAATGCTTATTTCTACCTTTATATAATTATT